CGGCCCGCCGTCTTGGAGGTCTCTTGGGCCGTTTTGGGGGCCTCTTGGGCCGTCTGGGCGCCCACTCAGGGGCTTATTGAGACGTAAGCGGCCCCCCCACTGGCGCCCCAGGACTGCACAGGAGGCCCCCAGGAGGGCTCCAAAACGCCCCAAGAGGGTCCCACGACGGCCTCCAAGACGGCCCAGGATGCAAGCAATAGGGCCCGCAAGGGGCCCAAGAATGGGAACACGAACTGACTGACGTTTCCGTTCCGCCCCAAGATGGCCCCAAAAGCTCCCCAGAGGCTTACGATGCCCCCAAGACGACCCAAGAAGCCCACAGGACGCAGTTCCCCGAGAGGCATCCCGAGAGAGTCTCATATGCATCCAAAGGGACTCCGAACAATAGCCTGGACACGGTGGCGGGATGGGCCGAAGGTAATGATCCGCCGCCCCCTGTTGGCTTGCCACAGGGGTGCCTGGCGTGCCAAACTATTTCGGTTTTAGTTTTGGCTCTTTTCCCAATAGAACTCCCCCTGGGGCTTCGGCCCGTCCCGCCGGGGTCCTGGCTCTTCCAGGACCGGAAACGACCTCAACGTCCGCAAAACATTCTCCAAGACGGGTCAAGATGGCCTCCAAAACGGCCATGTTGGCCCAAGATGGCCTCCAAGATGGTCCAAGATGGCCTCCGAGTTCGCCCAAGAGAGTCCAAGACGGTCCAAGACGGCCCAAGAGGCCCCCCAAATTCCTCCCAGACGGCCCCTGAGGCCTCCAAGAGGTCCTCCAGGAGGGCCCGAAGAGGCCAGAATCACTGTTGTTCCCCAAGGTTGTTGAAGGATTTTGGCATTCGCTTCTTCTCGGCTTTCCAACGACCCACGACGGCCCAAGAGGCCCCCAAGATCGCCCCCACAGCGCCCAAGAGGCCTCCAAGATGGCCTCAGGACCGCCCAAGAGGCCCCCAAGACGGCCCGAAGAGGGCACAAAGACCATCCAAGAGGCCTCCAATACGCCCAAGATGGCTTCCAATATTGCCCTGGAGCACCCCAAGAGGGCCCCAAGTCGGCCCAGAAAAAAAACCCAAACGGCTTCCGACGGCGTCAGACGGGCCAGGAGCCCAGCAAGGTAGCCGAAGTTGGTTCGAAGCTGGCCCAAGAGTCCTCCAAGATGGCCTCCAGGAAGGCCAGAAAAAAAGCCCAACAACATTGATTTTCCATAGGTTGTTGAAGGATTTTGACATTTGCATCGTTTCGGCCTTCCGACGGCCCGATACGGCCCAAAAACACCCAAAGATCGCCCAACAGGCCTCCAAAATGGCCCCCCACAACGGCCCAAGGGGCCCCCAAGGCGGCCCCAAGAGGCCCCCAAGACGGCCAGGAGACCTTTAAGACGCCCAAGATGGCCTCCAATACGGCCCTGGAGTATTCCAAGAGGGCCCCAAGTCGGCCCAGAGAGGCCCCCCAAACGGCTTCCGACGGCGTTCGGACGGGCCAGGGGCCCACCACGACGGCCGAAGATGGCCCTAAGATGGCCCAGGACGTCCAAAGCGGCCTCCAAGAGGCCTCCAGGAAGGCTCGAAAAGGCCAAATTCCTGGAATGCCCGGGAGTTTTTGAAGGATTGTGGCATTTTTTTGTTTTCTGCCTTCCGACGGCCCGAAACGGCCCAAGTGCCCCCAAAGATCGCGTAAGAGGCCCAAGACGGCCCCAAGAGGCCCCCAAAACGGCCCAAGAGGCCTCCAAGACGCTCAAGATGGCCTCCAAGACGGTCTAAAAGCCCTCCAAGACGTCCACTAAGAAGGCCCGAAAAAGGGTCAAAATGGCCTCCGGGAGGCCAAGATGACCTTCAAGATGCCCACGTGTTCCCCGAAGGCTTTCCAAACCGATTCGGGGCACACATGGTCCGATAGCCTGGCAGGTCTGGCCTCAACGTTCGGCCACACAGGCGCTTCCAACAAAAAGGCAGTGGGCGGCGGTGATTCGCCGTAAGCGCCTTCGGTATGTATACGAAAACATGTATATTTCATATATGTCAAGCGTGTGTTTCCACATATCGCAGGTCCACATGTATGCGCCGACTGAAGTGTGCGCGTGCGCGGGGGGTGTAACCTAAACGCACGCATACGCAGACTCCACACACGTCTTATTGTGTAATACATACGTACGTATGAGTTCCTCCCCCCCCCACACCTGGAGGCCCCGCGCCTCGATAATGGGAGCACGTTTTTTTTTTGATTGTTTTTCTTTTTCTCTTTTTTTATGATGTATAAAGAACTTTCTGGGGCGGACGATTAAAAACGTAGTTTCGCGGGCCTTCGCGCCACCGCAATAGCGGGGAGGCGGGGCAGGCAGACGGAGGGCGGACAATCCCGGGTTGTCTGGAGGCCCGGGGGGGGGCGCGGGCTGACGATTCAGAGCGGGGGGGCGGGGGGTCAATTTAGAGCCTCGCAAGCAAAATCTGGGAAGGACTTCGCGGGCTGACGATTCGAATCCGCAGGGGCGGACAATTAGAGGCCGCGGGGGCTGCTTTTGGCCAGCCCTGAATGGGAAGAGAAAATTTCTGATCCGCCAGTCCTGCGCGGAAGGCTGACATTGGGCGCCGCCTTAAGACAGCGACCTCCTTCCCCACCTCCTCCACCTCCTTTTCTCTTGTCCATCCCCCTCCTCCTACTACTCCTTGCCCTCGCTTTCCTATCCCTTGTCACCTTCCCCTTGCAATTTACGGTTCCTCTACACTCATTCAATATGAATTCCCCCTTCTCCCCTGATGTACTCCGGAAGATTGCCTGCACCCCTCCGCGTGTTGTGTTTAATTACACAACGGTTTGGCCCGAATCCGTTTCTCATAGTTGTTTTTTCAATCGGAACGTGTTCGGTTCTTCCAGGCTGTTGTTTCCGCTGGAACACTGGCCTTATTTTCGAGTTTCCGCTCGGTTCGAATCCTCCCGCGTGCTGTGTTTGTACACAGAGGATTGGGGCAATGTGTTGTTCATATCTGTTGTTCGATCCGGACTTGTTCGGTTCTTCCGACACGCTGCTCCCGCGGCACCGTTGGCCTCATTTCCAAGTTCCAACCAGCGTCCGCGAGGACGACAGCTGGGCCGTCCGCAGCTTGGTTCTTAAATCGAGAATGATAGAACTGCAAAAACATAAACTTTCGGCGATCCTCCGTGCATTTCCTGGATCTGCGCTGAGACTCCCTAGCGGCGCTTCCAGCGCCCCCTCTCCGCAATCCTCCTCCCGCGGCCGCGGGTGATCAAACGAACGCAGAAGGACGAATAGAAAATCAGTTTCCGCAAGGCGGCAACATAAAACGCCAGGGGGGCAGACGATTGAAAAAACAGTTTCCGGAGGAATTCTACGAGTCTGCCCCACCCATTCATGTTGGGGCCCCCGGGACGGGGGGGGGAAGCACTCTCTTAATCGGTTGCCCCCATTACCATCCGCTCTCACTCCCACACTCGCCCCCCCCCCCCTTCGGCATCGGGGGAGCCCCGAAACTGGCGAAGAGACCCGCGCATGGTGCCATGGCATCCCCAGGCGGCGCCAAGAGAGCCCCGAGCGGGTCCCACGATGGCCACGAGGCCGAAGCCCCTTTCGAACCAGCATGGCGACTTGTGTGCCAATAGCCTCACCGAGCACCCGGATCCCTGCACAGCAGGCGCGCGCAGCGCCATGACCTACACGGACCCCATCCAGTGCCTGGGGGGCAGAATTGAAGGGGCCCTGGGACACACACATAAGTAAGCACACAAATGACAGGATTCCCCGCAGTTTCTGTGTTTCTGTCTTCCCCCCCACTTCCCATATGTTCTGACATGTTCGTGGGAATCGACGATGAATTGTGCGTGTGTGTTTTTTCGCCTGCATGAACACGACCGCAGTGCACGAGCAAGCGCATGAGGCCCGTCCCAGGGCACTAGAGCATGAGATCCGCTTCCCCTCACGGGGGCTATGAACGCGCCCATTGGACACAGGCACGGGCATGACGGCGGTAATGCAGCGGAGGAGGAGGAGGAGGAGGAGGAGGAGGAGGAGGACGATGAATTGTGCCTGTGTGTTTCTCCTGTCTGGAACATGCAGCCAGCAAAACGCACTCCTGCAGGGAGAACGTGGCGGCGGACGCAGGCCGCGGCCACGAGGGGGCGGCCCCCTGGGAGGCCACCCCTGCCGGGGCACTACAGTCGGGGCGTTGACCTAAGGAACCCTAAATAAGGAACGAGGCCCCTTTCATCCACAATTTGAACTTCGATTTCCCATCGAAAACCAAAGGAAAACCCAAGGCGAACTGGGAAGCAATCAAGGAACACGGAGCCCCTCCCCAACGACGAAAAGGTTTCCTTCTTCAGGGCCCCGACTGTACAAGCCCGGTGGAGGGGCCATGGAACTGGGTCAGGCCGGATGAAGCCCAGGATCAAGCCGGGCGAAGCGGGATCAAGAAGCCAAATTCGGCTTCTGTTGTTCCCGTCCTACTTAAGGACCGCCTCCCAAAAACCATTTCGAGCACCCGGAAAAGTGTCAAAAGAGTGTCGAAAGAGTGTCGAAGCAGTGTCCAAAGAGTGTCCCCCAGGGCCCGACACGTGAAAACCCTCGAGTTTGGTGGTGTTTTCCTGGTGCTCGAAACTCAGTCTGGTGATCAAGGCTAAAGTAGGTTGGAGCATCATAAATCAAGAAGCCAGATTCGGCGGGACCCGGCCGGGTCCAGCGGCCTCCAGCCAGGTTCGGCCCGTTCAGACCCGGGAGGTGCCAGCCCCGATGCTGCGTTTCGCCTCTCAGGGCCTGCATCCGAACGCCCCCACGTGCCCACTGCGACAAGCAAGCGCCCCCAGACCCCGATCCTCGACCCGAGGAGGAGGAGGAGGAGGAGAAGGAGGAGGACGATGACGACGACGACGACGACGACGACGACGACGACGACGACGACGACGACGACGACGACAGCGACGATGACGACGACGACGATGACGGCGACGACGACGACGACGACGACGACGGGGGCAGCCGAGACGGCTCCCCCGAAAGGCCGCCTGCCGCTCGCGCTCGGGCTGGCGGCGCGTCGCCGCCCCCTCCTCGCTGGCTGGCGGGGGGCGCGGCGACGAGAACGCCGCCGCCGCCGACGCCGCCGCCGCCGACGACGCCGCCGACGACGACGCCGCCGTCGACGCCGCCGCCCACGACGACGACGACGACGCCGCCGAGTGCGACGACTGCGACGACGATGCCGCCGACGGTGATGATGCCGCCGACGATGCTGACGACCACGGCAACCACGACGACGCCGACGACAACGACGTCGCCGAAGACGACGCCCCCGACCACTACGTCGACGCCGCCACAAATGACGACGCCTACGACTACGCAGCCGAAGACGACGCCGCCGCCGTCAGCGACGCCGCCGCTGACGACGCCGATGCCGCCGACGACGCCACCGACAGCGGCGATGCCGCCACCCTCCGTGCGCGCCCGCCTCCGGGGGTAATGGAGACAGGATACCCCGAGATCCTGGCGCACATTCCTTCACGTGACCGTTTTCTTGTTCGGCGTTTCAACATTGGGCGGAAAGGGGGGGGGAGGGGGGTTAGGTCTGGCTCCGGACCTCTGCTTGATGCGGCTGCTTGCAGCAGTGCGTGCTACGGGGGAGACCCCACCTGCTCGAAGCAAGCTCAAAAAGACAGCCAAGATCTACTCCACGGGGGGGGGAGGAGGGGTGCGAGGGCCCGCGCTTATCGGCAAAACAATGAAAGAAAAACGATCACCACAAAGAGCGGCATTTGCCCTGTTTCGGGCCCCGGGGACCCTCACGGATCGATCCGGGTCAGCAGATGGGACCCAGGGCCCCGGTCGAGCTCTGTAAAGATGATGCAATTTTTCATGACTTCGGATCTCAAGTCAAGGGTCCTTTGTCGTCCGGGGGGGGCGGCCCTGCGCGGGGCTAGTCGGTGACGCCGGGGGCGGGGGGGGGACTGGGAAAATGAGGGGGGGAATACCTTCGCTCCGACGGGGGTGGTAATAGGGGGATCTAGCAGAATGAGGGAGTGAGTGGTCACCAGGGCTCTGTTGTGGCATGCGCAAGCGATGTACAGTGGCCTTGCGCTGTTGCTTCCAGATTTGTGCATGTGAGTTTTGCTCTGGAGAGCGTCTTGGGCCACCGCTCGGTAGCTCTGTCAACCAAGCTCCCCGGAGGCCCCAAGAAGTCCCTAAGAGGCCCCGGAAAAACCTTCTGGAGACCCCGAGAGGCATCCATCCCGGGAGACCCCGAGAGGCATCCAAGACGACCCTGACCCACGACTAAGGCACGATGGCGGGATGGGCCAGAGGCCACTGGATCCGCCGCCCCCTCTGCTGCAGAGGGGTGCTTGGCGTGCCACATGCTCGAGCTCTCCCTGGCCCGTCCAAGAGACTCGCAGCGGCCTTCGACCTGCCGACGCGGGCCCTCCGTGCGGCCCCCCGTGTGGGCCAGGAAACCAAGACAACTCGCCTCCCTCCAATGGCGATGGGCGAGTGCAAGGATCCTCGCCCCCGTCCAACAACAACTCGCCTTGAAGGGAAACCAAAACCAACAATGATGGGCGATCCCTGGGGCCAACTCATCATCCCGAGCCGTTTCTGAACGACCCTACGGCCGGGGGATGGCGCCGGCATTCGCGCGCCTGACCCGGCCTCAGGGCTGGCCCTCGAGGGATGGGGGGGACCTCGGAGCTCCTAGGAGCTGCGCACGATGCTAGGAAGCGCTGCAGTAGCTGCGCAACTTCTTGCGGCCCACGTGCTATAACGAGTAGGAACGCGCTTGCGGGAAAAGATGCGGACTCCAGCAGGCATCCACGCCTTTACAGCCGAAGGGGGAATCAGTCACACTCCCGCGCAAGAACTCCGCGTGGCCATCTCCAAAGGGCCAATCTGCTCGTTTATCCGTGCAGGGTCACTGGAAATCCCGACCCTTTGTCCAGGGCTGGCTGTGCGGAGAAATCCTCCTCTGGGCAGGATGTGGTAGCAGGCGACACGGAGCAAGAGGAGGAGACGCAGGAGAAGGAGGAGGATGATGATGACAAGGAGGAGGAGAAGAAGGAGGACGAGAATGAGAAAGAGACAGAGGAGGAGGAAGAGGAGGAGGAGGAGGAGGAGGAGGAGGAGGAGGAAACGGAAACGAGGGAGGGGGAGAAGGAGGAGGAGGAGTACGAGGAGGAGGAGCAGGAGGACGAGGAGGAGAACGAGGAGGAGGAGGAGGACGAGGAGGAGCGGGAGAGGAGGAGGAGAGGAGAGGAAACGAGAGGGGAGGAGGAGAGAGAAGAGGAGAGGGAGGGAACGGACGGGGAGGGAGGAGGAGGAGGAGGCAGGGAGGAGGAAGAGGAGGAGGAAGGAGGAGTAGAAGGATGAGAGGAGGAGGAGCGGAGGAGAGGAGAGGAGGAGGAGGAGCATGAGGAGAAGGGGGAGGAGGAGGAGGACGAGGAGGAGGAGGAGGAGGAGGGAGGAGGAGGAGGAGGAGGGAGGAGGGAGGAGGAGGAGGAGGAGGAGGAGGAGGAGGAGGAGGAGGACCTGGTGCAAAGTTTTTCAAGCTCCATCTGGGCCAAGCCCCCCCGATGGCGTGCAATTTTTTCCTCTGCACTGTTCTTCGCCCGCTACGTAGGCCCGAGGGGGAATGTTTGCGGGGTGCGTTCGAGCTTCAAGGCTCGAGTTTCGAGGGTTCTGACGCGCTCGTCGGCTATCGGCGGTTTTTCGGCCTCGGGATCGGGATGCTCTCCAGCAGCTGCGCCTCGCCGAGAGCATCCCCCGGGGTTCCTGGATCGTCCCGAACGGCCGCGGGAGGCTCGAGTTATGACCGGGAAACCACCCGGGGACTGGTTCAGGGGGGGAGGGGGAATCGACCTGGAAGCGGCGACGCATCGCCGATTGCCCCCCGCGACCGAGTCCGCACGTTCCCCGGCGGGGTGGGCTAAAAGGTTCCTTTTCTGCGATCAATTGGCGATTGGGGTCGATGCGTTCCCCAGGGGCATATCCCTCCCCCCGCAAGAGGACCCCGCTCCTCGGCGCCGATGTCCCGCGCGGCGGTGGGGCGGCCGTGCCGGCAGAGCAGCGGTGGTCCGATCTCCTCCTCCTCCTCCTCCTCCTCCTCCTCTTCCTCCTCCTCCTCGCACGAGGCCTCGCCGTGCGGCTCCCCTCAGACCTCTGACGGACTGATCTCTCCGAGCGACGGCAAGAGACGGGCCTCGCGCGAGAAGACGTCGCGGCCTTGCACCAAGGCTGACGGCGAGCCGCCGGTGTGGCACGCGCCGCGTGGGCGCTCGCGCGCGACCGTGCATGCGAGAAGCGTGCGCGCGAGTGTCCGTGCAAGCGACCTGCTTCCGGCGCTAAGACTTCGCCTAAAGGGCTCTGTCTTGTTCTTGTGACAGAACTGTCGTCAGAGCGGGCCACTCGACAGAGGCGGCTCCAAGGTGCTGCTCGGGGTTTTCCGACCTGGCGCAGCTTGGCGTTTCCAGACCAGGAAGTGCCACGCAGCGCCAAGCAATGCAAAGCCAAAGACGCGCAATGCCAAGCAATGCGAAGCAACGCCGGGCAACGCCAGGCAATGCCAGGCAATGCCGGGCAATGCCAGGCAGGCAATACAAAGCCACTGCCAAGCAATGCCGAACAACGATTCCAAGCAATGCCAAGCAATGCAGAACAGTGCCAAATAAGGCCACACAAGGGTCACTTTGAATTTCGCAAAACAGCTTTGAGACTTGTTTCGGATGAGAGGAACTCTTAAATTGGGGTCGCACCAGGCTCATTATTTGGCAGCGACGCATGAGCACATCAAGGTGCTAAGCAAAGAAGGTGGACCAGCCCCCCTCCCCCCTGCCCCCCCCCAGAAAAATGCACGATTGGGGGCTACTCTGTGGCGGGCTCCTCTGCGAGATCGCGAGATCGCCCCCGCCTCGCTTCCCCCTCTTGGACGGAGGGGGGGGAACCGACGGACCGATGTCTGTCCGCGGGCCCCATGAACTCTGGACCCCCCCCCGGGCCAGCTTCCGCTCCCGACCCCCTTGCGAGGGGCAACGGGCAGAGGAGGGCGAGGGGGCGGCGACGGGCAGAGAACCCGAACCCCGAAGAGCCCCGTCCGCCCGCGGGCCTGGCTGGCGGCGCCGGTGGCCGGGCGCCACGGCGGGCGGCGGCCCCGGAGATGCGAGGCCGCGGCAAAGGGGCACAGCACTGCGCCGGACATCAACGCCGGAGACCCGAGGCCCTCGTCGAGGCCCTCGTCGAGGCACGAGAGGCCTTCGAATACATGCAGGGTGGCCCCAGGCAAGGAGTGACCTCAGGTGCGCGGTCTTGGAGGGCCGCGGGGGGGCAAACCCGCGCGCGCATGCCTCCACGCCTCGGGGCCCCGGACCACGGGCCACTCTGGCGAAGGGCCACTCTTGTGCGCGCCGCCGAAGCCTGCCGAGCCCCACAGCTGGGCGAGAACGCCCAGAATATATGGAGGACGGGTAGTGGTGGGAAAGGGCTTCGTAGAGGGCAGGAGGAGAAGGAGGAGGAGGAGGAGGAGGACATGGAGGAGGAGGAGGGGGAGGAGGAGGGAGGAGGAGGAGAAGGAGTGAGGGAGCGAGGAGGAGGAGGACAATGGAGGAGGAGGAGGAGGAGGGGATTTAGGGTGGGTATTACTGATGAGGGAAATGGCTGAGTAGGCAGAAGTGAGGATTAGGAGGTATGTAGGAGGAGGAGGAGGAGGACGAGCGCCTGACCCCGGAGGGGCAACTTCTTGTTGGGTTCTCGGCCGCCCGTGGCGGAGGAGCTCCTCTCGGCCTTCGGGCCCGCGGCAGCAGGCAGCGGCGGCGGGCGGCGCGGCGGAGGCGGCAGGGCACGCCCGCAGGCGGCGGCGACGGCACTCCTCTCGGCCTTTGGCTCCGCGGCCGCCTCCTTCCTCCGCTTCTTCTTTTTCTTCGCCGGCGCTTCCTCGCCCGGACGCGGCCGGGGCGGCCCCATCCGCTGCCCGTCGGTGTCGTCCTCGCTCCTCCTCCTCCTCCCCGTCCTCCTCCTCCTCCTCCCTTCTCCTCCTCCTCCTCCTCCTCCTCCTCCTCCTCCTCCTCCTCCTCCTCCTCCTCCTCCTCCTCCTCCCGCCTCCTCCCCCTCCTCCTCCTCCTCCTCCATTTCCTCCTCCTCCTCCTCCTCCTCCGTTTCCTCTTCCTCCTTTTCTTCTTCACCCTCCTCCTCCTCCTCCTCCTCATCATCATCATCATCCCCCTCCTAACGTGCCAGCTGGAGGTGTCCAGCATTTGGTTAATAAGGGCCTTCCGAAAACCAATGATTGCCGTCAATTCGTGGTTCTAATGTCTACCCTGGCAGGCGAAACCCTGCAGGATACCCTCTCAAAGGCCCGCTTCCCAAGCCCGCTGCGCTCCACCTTTGTGACGCGAAGCCGCTGCAACACGCTGCCAACACGACGCGCCATAGCGTTGCATCGGCACGGTACTCTTCCAATCCAGCGCTCAGATGCCTGGAGACGCGCCCGCAGAGAACCCCTTGTGTGCCCAACGCGGAACCTGTACTGTGCCCAGACTCGGAAGGAGTGCCTGAATTGGCTGGCCGCGTGCCCCACAAGACAACGCCGTGCCCAGGAACACAAACTCGGCGCCCAGACGTGCGCCCCACATGACACAAAGGGCAGGCAAGGCGGAGCAGCCTCGCATCCGAGCCAACCGTGGGCACAACACCACTCCCGAAACCGTCACCGCGGGACCCGCCTCCGTGGGCACAGGAGCTCCCGAGACGGACCGACGGCGGCCGCGTCGGGAAGGGCGCCCGTGAGCTCGATCGGGCATGGGCACTGTACAGGGCTCCGAGCCCAACGACGTGCAGGTCCCCCTCCTCCTCCTCCTCCTCCTCCTCCTCCTCCTCCTCCTCCTCCTCCTCCTTCTGTCGCGACGACCACCAGACGTGCGCGCGAAGGGATGGCCCCGCGCGCGGCGCGCACCGGGCGTGCGCCAGTCGCCGCGCGCAGCTGCGACGGCGAAGCACCGCAGCGCCGGACGGCACCGCTGCCTCCAGGGCCTCCGCCTCGGCCCTGGGGACCCGCGGTGCTTCCCGCGGTGTCCGCGCCGCTGGCCCCGAGGGACCTGCGTCGTGGGCCCGAGGAGGAGGAGGAGGAGGAGGAGGAGGAGGAGGAGGAGGAGGAGGAGGAGGAGGAGGAGGAGGAGCGTCGCGACAGAAGGAGACGATGGGGCACAAGGAACCCTGGGCCATGCCCGCCTGGGGTCCTGGCCCCGCCCTGCCAGGAGCAGTCCCGTGGAAGGGGGCCGTCCTCAGCGTGCAGCTCGCGCCTCGGTGCCGCGCCGCGCACGCTCGTCTTGATGCGGCAGCTAACAGGATGGAGGGCGGTCCGTTTCTTTCGCCTGAGCGCCGCGCGCATTCGTCTTAATAGTTTCCAGAAGTTCTATGGGTGCAGGCAGTTATGTTTTCAAACGTGGATCTCTCTCTCTCTCTACTTCTCCTGTTCTCTCGATTGGGGCCTTCTGGGAAGCCCCGACA